CAGCTTTCAATGGCCACTTTGAAGTGGTGCAGTTGTTGCTCGATGCTAGCGCTGACAAGAATGCGACAAAGACAGATGGAGAAACTGCCTTGATGGTTGCAGCTTTCCGTGACCACTTTGAAGTGGTTGAGTTATTGCTCGAGGCTGGAGCTGACAAGAATGCACCAAAGAAAGATGGACAAACCGCCTTGATGGGTGCAGTTTTCAATGGCCACTTTGAAGTGGTGCAGTTGTTGCTCGAGGCTGGAGCTGACAAGAATGCGACAAAGATAGATGGAGAAACCGCCTTGATGAGTGCAGCTTTCCATGGCCACTTTGAAGCGGTGCGGTTGTTGCTCAAGGCTGGAGCCGACATGAATGCGTCAATGGCAGATGGAAGAACCGCCTTGATGGGTGCAGCTAGCCATGGCCGATTGGAAGTGGTGCAGTTGTTGCTCGACGCTGGAGCTCACACGAATGCGATAAAGACAGATGGAGGAACCGCCTTGATGGGTGCAGCTTTCCATGGCCACTTTCAAGTGGTGCGATTGTTGCTCGACGCTAGAGCTGACATGAATGCGACAAAGACAGATGGAGAAACCGCCTTGATGGTTGCAGCTGTCGTTGGCCACTTTGAAGTGGTGCAGTTGCTGCTTGAGGATGGGGCTTACATGAACGCGGTAATGGCAGATGGATTCACCGCTTTGATGGGTGCAGCTTTCAATGGCCACTTTGAAGTGGTTCAGTTGTTGCTCGACGCTGGAGCTGACAAAAATGTGAAGACGACACATGGAAGAACCGCGTTGATGGCTGCAGCTCAGAATGGCTACTTGGACGTGGTGCAATTGTTGCGCTAAGGGGGGCCTCCAACCTATGACCGCGATCGCCTCCAGCCATGGCCGCCATGGCCGCGAGTCGAATGGAATGCACTAGCGCCTCAGTACCACGTCGTCCGCGTCGCCATGCTTTTCTGAAGACATCGCCGTCGGAAAGGTGTGAACATCGCCGTCGCCATGGCATTCCATCCACTTGGGAAAGGTACGGAGGTTCCCTCCCAATTGACTCCCCATATGAAAAACAGAGAGGGAGAGAGAAAGGCTGGTTGGCGGTGAAAAAAAGCTATATTTGGGATAATATACAATTCACCATTAACATCCATTAACCTTGCAGGTGAGTTGAAGCCACCGACCAGTGAGAGCTCAGGGTGTCCGCTCTCATTCACGTTTCGCTCAGCTCCAAGCCGAGAGAGGGAGGACAGTGCTCTCTCTCTCTCGAGAGAGAGGGATTTGCTTTGTTTGGTCTCGCAGGAGTGGTTGGACCATCTCAGAAGAAACCCACACAGCAGCTGTTCTGATCCTTGGGGTGGCAACACCGCGATCTTTGGGTTTCCTATGATCTATTAGCAGCTTCTTGCTACTAGGAGCGATGGCCTCCACGCTAATAGCGATGGCCTTCAACCTACTAGCTTCTTGCTACTAGTAACTTAGTAACTCATTCTTTAAATTGGTATTTTTTGCCAAAGCTCCAACAAACATGCCCGGACAACCCCGAAGGCATGGATTTCTCCACCAGGAGTACCTCTCATGAGGCTCTTGCATGATCTAATATGATGTGTTTTTTTCATGGTGAAAGTCTCAGACCCCCAAAAGCAAAAACTCACGAGACATGTAGATATTTGCTTTCCGCCCGGGTCGTTACCATGCTTTCTGGTCTTCCGCCCGGGTCATGGTACAGGGGGGTTTGTTTGAGGTTTACGACCCACTTCTCAGTTCTTTTTTGGTGACATGTGTGTTTAGTTTCTTTTATATACTCAGTTCTTCTTCTCATGACTCAATGGTACATCGGCTGGCCTGAGCTTCTTTGCGTCCGTCCGAGACACTCGTCACCGCGAATCGTTGTCACCGCGAGCATCGTCTCCCGTAGCGAGACCGCCAGGCTACTTGAAGAACGGGGACTTCATCCCATCAGTGCATGGCAAGATCTTGCGGGTGCAGTCAGGCTGGGCAGTTGGGGGCCCGTTGACAACCAGATTTTGGACCCAAAGCATGGAACACATGGCAAACGGATGGAAGCAAATGAGAGATGATATATATATATAATATATATATATAGTCTTTGTTTGACCAGCCATTAGATGAAGAACTTTGGAAAACCCTGCCAAACATAGGTTTAGGAGAGAGGCTATGGATAACATGAGGACATGTTGAAGGTCAAGCCCAAACAGGCGAGCAGGGAGGCCACAAACTGCCAAACATTTGGCAGGTTGCGCAGGCCCATTTGACTGGTTGCCTCCTCCTGGCTGATGGGCATTCAAAGTGGTGAAAACACCGTATGTAAGTCAACAGGGTAGTTGTGGATCCGAAGTCAATGGCAAAGTGGCCTCTTTTGGCAGGCTTTGGCATGTACTTGTAGAAAAGAGGGTTTGCGGGTGCTCTGCTTTGAACCATACCCAAGAGGGAGGAACTAGTGATGAAACTCATTGTTTTGGAGATCTCCTCAATTTAGAGACAGATCCAACGCTTGTAGCTGCGCTTGATGGAGTTCACCTTTGCATACAGAAGTCAGACCATCGGGCCCTGTGTTCCCTCACGGAGAGTTGGACTGGTCGGCCCTTCACCCATCGACGAGCTTGCGGAACGGAGTGAGTTGGGAACGGAGGAGCTTTTCAGAAAACGGGAGCAAGAGTCCCAACACCGCCCCTTCTCCATGACAGGTCATGTTCACAGGTAGTCTCGTGGGAAAACACCACACCGGCCCTCACTCTTCAAGTCTCGTGCTGCTTAAGACGCGTCGTGAACCGTCTACCTTCAGTTCGTGTTTTCACACAGGCGCAGAGGAGGTCTTTGTGTTCTCGCCCCATCCAGAGAGTCACGCCATCATCTTGGAACACTACGGCAACTGGCCGGCGGTCTATGCCTGGGACCTCAGGGGACCGCAATGCGCTCTCGAAGCGCTCGAGAGCAGCGTGAGCTCGAGAGCCTTGGGGGTCGGCTGAAGCAGCCAATTCTGTGGTACTCAGGTGGTAGAGCAAAGATACTGGAAAAGCTGCTGGTGAGTTGCTATATTCCGCTATATTCGAGCCAGAGGCCAGAGAGGCTAGAGAGTGACTGAGCACGGCTCTAGGATCTTTGTGTGTGCACTCAGAGATCACCGGACAGAGGGGCCGCAGATTCTTGACTGGCGGGGGTCGTCCACACTTCATAATTCGAAGGGTATTTCCGGCACTTGCTCCCAGGTGATTGAAATAGAAAGCCTGTGAAGGGCATCCCTGTTCCTTTCAGAAAGGCATTGCTCCGACCACACCTGCAGACCAGCGATCACGAAGCCATCACCCCCGATCACGGCCACTCAGACAGCGATACTTCTTTGTGTGGAAGCATGTGGAAGCGAAATCCAACAGAGTATAACGACTATACTGGTTGATCTCCACGCCTCAAATGACTCAAGAGATCTCAAGAGCATTTCTTCATAACACAGCGGTTTGTTTTCTGAAACATAGCTATTCAATCTTAGCCGAGGAGGCCCATGCATGCTTCAGAGATCTTCAGAGTCACTTCTGAAGAGGTACACTAGGGTTGAGGACCATATTCATTCCGTGAAGACATGGTATTCTGGTCAAAAGTCAACACCCCTTGTCGTCGTGTTTGTTCAGGCAATATTTTCTGAGTTTTACACTGGCACCTGTGACCCCGAATAGATGGTTTGATGGATGAAAGAAAAGCAAGGGATTCACTCTTCTGTTGCCTAGCACCATTTCAAATTTCCTTTACCTCTTCAAGGCTTCACATCCACCTTCCAACTCACCGAGCACCTACCCGCATGGTCAGGTTTTGCGATCGACGAAACCGGGGAGTCTTTTTCTGCGAGTTTCTTCACCTTTCCAGTCACCCCCCATGCACTCCCAGGAAGACCACCTCCATGAAGTGTAAAACCACTCCAGTCACCCCCCACTCCTGACGGGGTCTTCGCACTCAGACCAAGCACTCGTCACTCCCCCGGACCCGGACCCGCCGAGCCGCCCCGGACCCAGCAAGGCCACCACGAGCTCGGACTTGTCCCGCTCGACCTCCGACGGGGCCTATGCCATCTATGCGGCTCGCACCGGGTCGGTTGGAGGGACCAGCACGACAAGCATATAGATCGAAGGATGGCCATCGCATTGGTTCGGGATCGCAACAGCTGTTTAATTACCCTTTTGTACAATCCATTTTCCAGGGTCACACTAGAATCTAGAAGAAGATATCGCCAAACCCTCTGAACAGTCGGAAAACATTCTCCATGCGTAGGTAGTGAGTTCTTTTTCGCTGCCTGGTGGCCGGATGAGACCGGGCAACCCAGGTGCCGGTCGGGGCGGTGCCGGCGGGGGACACCAAGAAAGCCACCATCTTCTATGCCGTGCCTTGGACGTTCACGGCTGGGTGGAGAGAGGTTCTGAGGGCAAGGGAGTGACGAAAGAGAGTGAAGGACAAGGGAATGGAAAACAAGGACGAAACAGGGCACCTTGCTGAAGAGAGCACATCCCATGCTCCTCCTGCAGGAGATCCAGTGGCCACCCAAATGCTGAACCCCTCAAGCGCCGTCCAAAGGCAGCACCCGGGAAAAGCAGTACTCTCCCTATTCAAGATACCCTGAGCTTCCTGACTGATGGAAAGTGTGTAGTGCCAACGGGGCAACATGTGGAGATGTGCACTAACCAGGCCAAATATAGAATGTATTCGAAGAAAAACACACACATTTTTTGACGTCGCTGTCGAAGTGGGGAGAGGCCAGCGGCTGGGTGGGGGGGTCCAAGATGGTGCAAGGCAAGCAGATGGAAAATAGATGAAAGGGTGTTTGGCTGAAATAGGTCCACTTTTCCCCATGGGTTTACTTTCCTTTGACTTTGACCTGAAACCGGTTGGGACTTCTCAATAGTAACTACTGCGATCGAGCTTCGATCTCGATCGCTGGTGTGTGGGTGATCTTAGTGCTGAGTTTGGGCTACAAGAACTGGAACCTTGCAAGTTGCCAAACACAGACATGCCCAGTCTAGAGTCTAGATGATGGGAAGAGCATCCAGAGAAAGAGATCCCACAAAGATGTCACATCCGCTTTGCCTCACATCACAGGAGACGGACATGGGCACATGTTCCGACCGGGAGTTGTGAGCCCTGTACACTCCCCCCCTGCAAGTGCCACCACTTTGACCATCCACATCGGCACATCATTCTTTCGACAAGGGCTTTAGCAAAGCTGAGTAGAACATGTGTTCAAAAAACCTTCGAAAAAACCAATCAACTGGAGAAACTCCAAGGCAACCACCGCCTCGCCTCGCATTCCTCTCGCCTCGTCTTCACCGTCGGAGGCGGCCGGTGCGAGTGACCTCAATCTACTGGCGCGTGCGAGCGAGGAAGCGGAAGCTGAAGGTGCGGAGCCGAAACCGACCACGAACATGGCCAGTGAACCGGGTGAAGGGGAGCCTTTGTGTACTGGAACCGCATGGAAGAGAGACCAGCCTGCAAAAGCGGTGGGGTGCCCGTTGACCTGAACATGGCCTCCAATCAAGAGTTCAAGATCTCTAAGATTCTTGTTTCTTTACACGATTTCGATTTCGATCTACTTATGGATCTATCGGGTCTGTCACTCGTGTCACGCCGTCAGCCCCGAGGGGTCTGTCACTGCGCGGAATGCCGGTCAACGTTTTCTCTCGTGGAGCACCAACGCGCCACGTATCTTTCACCGACTCAACCCACAAACTCCAACAAAGCAACACTGCTATTGGTACCATGGGATGGGGATGGACACCCCTTAATGGTGTGCCTGCATGTAATTCCTCACTTCACTTTGTTAACCCATCAAGTTCTGACTTTGCCACAAACCATAGCTTTGTTCATAAAGGTCTTGTGAAACTTCAGACCCGTCTGTGAACACCCGACCCACCACTAAACCGAATCTTCCAACTTGCAACGGCCCCGGGTCCGCCGATTCCGCCAGAAATGCCCAGCACTACCGCAACCGTGGCCACGGCCGCCACAACCATGGCCACGCTGGCCACCCTGCCGCCCATCGCGACGACGGAAGCCAGCTCCAGTACGATGAGGGGCTTGGCGGTGACCCAGCGAGAAGGAAGAGAACGGGAGGTTCGATGCCATTTTTGGTGTCTCAAGTTGAAGTTGGCTTCGAACTGCTGGCACCACGAGTCCCTATTCAAGAACCACTCTGGAATAGGTGGGTGTTGAAGGACGATAAACAAGTGACACTATCCACTGGACGAGAAACAAGGACTCCTGAGGAAGTTTTGTTTCGGCCAAATGATAAAGCTAAGCTCAAACATGACCACAGTTCGGAGGTTCTTTTTAAATTTTTGCATCCGTTCACTCCAGGCTGATTAGGGTTGTCTTTTTTCCACGTGATAAGCTATTTGAAGAAACACATCCTGGAATGCTTGATGGTCTGCATCTGTAGGTCAAGGAAGTTGGAGAGCCTAGCATTAGATTAAGCATACCCTGCAGAGCTTTGTTTTCCGGAATGGTGCGACGGTCGCTTGAGGCACCTTCTTTCAGCTACGGTTTACATAGAGGCCTATTTTGAGATTTGATGTGCGTATTTTCAGAATAATTCAGTGGCTTGTTAAGCCCATGGTTGTTGAACCCAACTGTCCGAGACAATGCAAACACATGCCAAGACCTATGATGCCCCAGTGGCCACTCCAAATTTGAACCGATAGAGTAGCGGCTTGTCTGGAAGATGCTGATCTCATCACTTCGTCATACTTGGGTCGCCACCCATTCCCAGGCAACTGAGGTTTGAACCATCATCAGTCTACCACTTCCAGAAGCGACTTGTTGCCCAAACCTTCCGTCTGACGCGCATCTCAGTGTGATCGACTCCCCCAGGTCTTGCAAACGCCATTCCTCAAGGTCGCGGTGATGGAGGACGGGAGTGTCTTGGCGCAGTCGGACGGGCGCCGGATCTGACCAATCCGACTCCAAACGGTCGAAGCGGTATACGCAGAACCACCGGTCAGACGTGGAAGCCTTCTTGCAGACGTGGAAGCCAGAGGCTCCGAGAGGCTCAGGTGTTGGAGTTTGCCCCAGCAGAACCTGAGAACGAAGCTGCGGCAAAGGCGAACTCCACCTTCATGGGCGAAGGTGTTGAGGCAAGGCGATTCAAGGTGTATAAGAGCCCAAGCCAGGTGAAATCGAGGCAGTCGGAAAGTATTAAATGAATACAGCAAAAGCACTTCCAAATTTGGGCCCAAAGCACTGGCAGGGGTCGGACCCTCCATAGCAGGACTTCCGGCCCCTGTAGATATATAGAGGAACACTTACGGGTGTTCCCTCCCGTTCGGTGACCCTCCTTCGTCGAAAAGAGATCCACCACCTCTCTGTCTTCGGCGACCACCCACCGAGCCTCGGGTGGTTTGTCAGTCGAAGCAAGGCTTAGCGCAGCCCTTCTATTATTCCACGCTGCATGGATGGACCAAACTCACCTATGGCCACAAGAAGCTGGACTCCGCCATCAAGGTGCATAAAACACTGCCATCACGGTCAGGGAGCAGAAACATGCAGAAAACACTGCCGACTGGTCGGCGGAATGGTGGAAAAGACTAGGGTCGAAGGACACAAACCCAAATGGTTTTGGGAGTCGACTGTCGCTCTTTTGCACATCAAGCATTAAAGATTATCCCGGCAATTCACCCCAAACAGTGTGTGTGTGTGAGGTCTAAAAGCAGAAAGTCTAGAGATCTAGACGCATTGGGGTCCAGAGAGGTGATGGTGGTGATAAAGGTGGGGATCGTGGTGACGGTGGGGGTGGTGGTGAGTGAGTGAGTGATTGTGAGTGTGAGTGTGAGTGTGAGTGTGAGTGAGAGTGAGAGTGAGAGCGAGAGAGAGAGAGAGTGAGTGAGTGAGTGAGTGAGTGTGAGTGTGAGTCTGAGTGTGAGTGAGTGTGAGTGTGAGTGCACTTCAAGGTTCATGAAGTGCCGTGACTGCCAGGAAATCTGCGCATCGAGGTCCATGAAGTGCTGCGCCTGCTACGAAATCTGCACTTCGAGGTCACACAAAGTACTGCGGTTGCCACGAAATCTGCACTTCTAGGTTCACAAAGTGCTGCGCCTGTCACGAAATCTGCGCGTCGAGGTTCACAAAGTGCTGCGCCTGTCACGAAATCTGCACTTCGAGGTTCACAAAGTGCTGTGCCTGCCACGAAATCTGCACTTCGAGGTTCACCGCAAGTTCTGTGCCTGCCACGAAATCTGCAAACGAGCCACATGTGGAAAAGCTACGATTCACTGCACCTGTCACGAAATCAGAGCGCCTCGACGATCACCACCATGTCCAAATTGCTGCACCTGCCACGAAATCTACACTTCGAAGTAAAGCCGCTCCAATCCCTTGCGCCTGTCACGAAAAGTCGACTTTGGACCTCCAAAGCACGAGATTTCCCTTGCGCCTGCCAGGAAAAGTGACCACCATGTGCGAAAATGCGCACGGCACCACAACGAGAGCGCAGTCGCTAGAAGCGCCCGCCGCGGCCACCCAGATTTCGCGAGCCTGCGCAGTCGAAATGCACTTCGAGGATTTCGAGAGGCATGAATGTACTGTAAATAGCAGCGAATTAGCCGCACACGCCCGCGCACTTCAGCGATCTAAGCATCAGTTGCTTTACTCCTACCGTAAGAACCCCTAAGTGTGTCCACACTTTTTGGGGAAAAAGCACCTCTGACCCTTAAGCTTTTTGAGGAGGATTCATGCGTCATATAAGCCCACATCCAAACCCCAACAAATCCCCAAACGGTAAACGAACAGGTGGGGGAAATCATTTTGGTCAGCCCACTTCAGTTTTTTGTTGAGCTGCAGACTTGTTTGACATATTTTGTGGTGCTGACCGTCCTGGGTGTGATCGAAAAAACAGGAAAGAGTGTCATCCTGGAGGTAACTGGCGGCGTGCATGTCCAAGAAAGGCAATAATCCAAAAACATGTTTTTGGATGTCATGACAAAACTATCAAACAACATGCTCTATACCATCCGTTTTTGTTGAGTTTGACCTGCACCTTGCGCAAAGAGACACAGCAACAAGACCTGGCTTCCAGCATGTACTCAGATAGCATATCCCTTCTTTGGTTTGTCTCAGCACTTTTTCTTGCCATTGGACACATCGCATTTCGTTTAGACTTGATGCGTGTGACCAGCGTGTGTAAGCCAATGACTCACCAGCTTATTTTTTTGAGGGTGAACATGTCTTGCGCCCTCATGGAGGAATCTAAACAAGGTCTTTGTAAAGTGGTTTCTTTGGGATTATGGGTGGAATCAAGGAACTGAGCGATGCAGATAGTTGGAGTATGCAGTAGAGCCATAGACTCTGGTGACGTGGACAATCCCGGATAAAGCTCGCTCATGGAAAAACTTCGCAAGAAGATCGAAGGACACTCAAGAGTCAAGAGTCATGGCCATGCCATGGTTCTGATGGTCGACGAGAGCCTTTGCCACTGACCTCTTGAATAGATCCTGAACCATCGATGGCCTTTAAAAGGGCCCTTGGTCGGTTGCTTCACCGAGGGGATACCCCAATACCGTCCCGTACCTCGTGTACCACTGGGTACCTGGCACCGACCCCTCTTGGGCCCAACCGTCGGACCTCTCGGTGTCAAAGTCGTTCGTTTCAACCGTTGGCTGGGAGGAAACGGATGGGCAGAATCGAACGGGCTGTCCATAGCCATATCCGATTGCCTAAGGCAAATCCGAAACCTCTGCTTTACACCATGGGGTGCGGCTCCGCAGTCTATGATTGATCAACAGGTCACATGCGGAGGAGCCAAGGACAGTGTGACCTGCCGACCGGTGATCCACGTGGTGTGACCGTCTTGTCTAGGTTTTGAGCAAACGCACATTTTGTTGCTGGGAGCACATGGCACAAATCATTGAGGCCCATGGTGCGCGTGCTTAGCGTGCCTGAGCAGCAGCCATGTTCTTTTTGTGAGACATGTGCAGAAGCCGAAGCTGTACTCTTAAGGCACTGTGTGACACAGCCGTTGGGCGCACAGCCGGCATAGCCGTCCGGTCAGGTTGATGGGCAGCTTGCCAACCTGGAAGGCACGGGGACCTGCAAAGCCTTCGAGTTTCACTCGCACTTTCGAATTTTGACAAGTGCGCAGCAATAGTATGAGTCCTTACAACTGCCAACAGGAGGCTTCTTTGCCGGCATGTCTCTGTTGCAGCGTGCTTCTGTTGCTTTGGGTGCCACTTGTGTAGGGCATGGAGTTAGTTATGGCCCCATGCTTTTTCCTGCGACGAATGTAGCTGGCTAAACTCTTTCATTTTCACCGCCGCATGCATTTTTTCCATGTCCCAAGAGGAACTTGTTTCATCATGTAACTTGGACACGCAACAGAAACATCCTCTTGCTACCCACGCGTGGATGCTCAGGGGAGGCGGCCATCGAGAGTTCGATGGGCCAGAACTCCTTGTCCACGAGATCGCAAGTGGCCGTGGAGGGCATCCCGAAGGCCATCGCTTTGGGGATCTGGAAAGTCTTGAACAAGTCCTGCCCGGATGTCCCTTCTCGTTTTTTTTTGACAATCGCCATCGATCTATCATTTTTGGGTGCCAAACGCCCTTTTGAATCCTTTGGAGACGAAGACCACAAAATGATTGGACCAAACAGGAAAAATAGAAGGTACACAAGTGTCCCACGGCCTTCAAGGAGAAACACAAACGATGGGGATGAATCAGGATAGAACCAAACGTCTTTCTGCTCCAAAGCAAGACCACAAATAATCTCAACATCTGCTGTGCTACTGTTGCATCTCCTGAGTACTGTTTTTGAAACAATCTTAATTACCGTTCTGCGAGAACTGGAGATGCTAATTATTCCCACATGAACATTTTTTATTTGAGGGTAGCGCTGTTATGGCCTAAAAATGTCCGCTGTTTGAAAACACAAATGTTTGTTTGAAACCGGTCTGTGATGTTTGTCGTTTGAAATTGCCTAATTAATCCATCCACGTACTGATTTGGTCTTTGATCACAACACCTATCACACTCGAAACAATCTGCTCATTTTTACAGCGGATTTCGGGAACGTGTCTTTGAACATGTGTTGCCAATCACTTGAAGCTAGTTGGGAGGCCTTGTTTTATTTTCAATTGGTTATAAACACATGAGTTTTCAGGCCTCGATCAACATGTCGTTTCAAGTGGAACGGCCAACATCAAGGCGAAAAGATGTGACATTTTCGTATGCTGGAGCTTCCACTTGCCGCCACACAAACAGACTTTCCGTTGGCTCTTAAGAGCCCATGGAGGGCTCCTTTGGGGTGTCTCGAGCTCCGTGCCAAGGCCGAGGTCTTACGACGCCTGGGGGCATCACAGTCGTCCGCTTTTGGTGGGGTTGTGGAGAAGACTGTGGTAGGATGGAGGGCTTTGGATGGAGCACCTTCTTTTTCGGCGGGGTTGTGGAGGATGCGCTCGCGGCCTAGGTCTCAGACAGCTGGCGAACATGGTTGTGGCGGATGGTCTGTTTGGTAGTCTGGCGAGGTGAGGGATCGGATCGATGAGGGGCCACCTGCGGGTCAGCCCGAAAAGGTCGATTTGAATATGATACTTTTCAGTTACCGTTCAAAGGTGGCCAAGCAAATCATGTTCCAAAACGACTTCCAAAACAGGTTCAAGAGGGGCTCACGTGTCTAATTTGATTCTATGTAATTAAATTTTGCAGGCATGATGCGCTCGGGCACCAATGGCCGAGAATCTTGTTCTACTCCAAGCTTACAACTGTTGATGTCTCAACTGTTTCCTTCACGAACGCATCCACCACATTGTACTCGTTTTCTCGGTCGTACCGCAAAACAACTGTGCGAGCCCCGGCACGTCTCAGCGTTTTTTTCACCCAGGAAGTTACAGCTTTTTGGGGAATGGCATGGTCTTGAATGTCACCTTCACCTTCACAGCTCTCAGTTCCATCTCGAGCCTGGAGGTTGTGACGGGGACTGGGTTCGATGGGGGGCCTTTCGAGTGGATGTGTAGTGTGTTTCGGCAGTCAGGCAGTGGGTGAAAGGATGTGAAAGGAATTACCAAGAAAGCGCCTTTGGTTGCTCCTTTCCAGTTGGGCCTTTGGATGAAAGGGCTTTTGGCTCAATTGGACTGGAGATGTGTCGCCGTTCCTTGTGTGATTCAGGTAAGCATTTCGATGAACCCCAGTACCATGCAAGTTGCTTCCCTGCTGGTGAGAGATCCTTTAAACATGGTGTCTCCTCAAAAAACCGAGTGATTTCTTGAACGACCACAAGCAAATCAGATCATCAAAGACCAATGGTCCTCATACGGGATCAGATTCTCAGGAATCCACCTTTGCTTGGATCCTTTCCCAAAAGAATCAGATCATTACAAGCAAATCAGCCTTTTTGTTGAGATTCTCAAAGGCTGACTGGGCTGAATCTCGATCCGAGCTCGACGGCGCCACCGGATCACCGGATCCGGCTGGAACCCGACTCCATGGACCTCCATAGACTCACCCGACTTCATGGGGGCCGGGACGAAGGGGGCGTGGGTGGATCCTTTCGGAGTGTTTCTGGGATGGAGGTTTCCAGAAAGAACCACGTGACCAGCTTTTAAGTGAGTGTTTTCTGGGTTGGGTGGTGATTTGTCCGAATCTTTCATGGGAATCAGGCCTTTCGGGAACCACCATGAACCTGCCTTCAAGTTAGTTTGGTTGACCATGGTTGACCGATCACCAACAAAACACCGGGTCGCTCTAAGATACCGCAGTACTGAAGAAAGGCCACGAAAGCTGCCAGGGAGAGAGCTGCTAAGAGAAGAAAGCTGCCAGGCCTTCCATGATCCCATTTATTCCATAGGAATCCACGGAGCTTCATCACACCAATCGCACCAAACACGGGTGCCTCACGGTGCACCACCGTCGCAGGTCTGGCTTGGCACTTCAGACGATTGGATCGGCACCACCGATCGACCCAGTAAGCAACAAGGCGTGGAGTGGTGGAACCTGGTGGGGAACCGACCGACCGTTTCGGTGGACGACTCGGACGACTCGGTGTGGACCGTTTCGGGTGTTTCGTGTGTGACGACTCCACAGCGAGATGCACCATGAATGCACATGAATACACAGACTAGTCACTAGTCTATGCCGGGGCGCAGAAACAAAGCCCGGTGTCACCAGTGGTTCGAACAGACGAGCTTCGAGAACGCAATGTCTGCCGACTTCAACGTCGACGGCGTGAAACGCAGGCTACTTCCAAGGGGGGGCCTTCGTCCCAGCGCCGCATGGGAAGATCTTACAGGTGGCCTCAGGCGTGCCTGGAGCCATCAGAGGTGAAGACTTTTCCTATTGCAAAATACTGTAATAGGACAGGCTGCTGCTACATAATTAGCATCATGTATGAGCACGTACTTCTTCAATTGTCCGTTTGTGAGTTTGATACGTGAGAGTTCGTTGGATCTATCAGAATGGGTGTTGAAGGCAATCAGTGGCAATTCTTTTGAAGGCTGTCTCCCTCCCTCTGTCTCTAACATTGCGGCCTATTCAAGGAAAGGTATATGTTTTCATTTCCAGAGGCCGCGTCTAGGATATAGAGACATATAGAGACAATTAATCTGTCAAGGCGCCTACAATTGACTAGATGCAGCTCTGACGTTCTGTTGATTTTCGGGTTGTTCGGCTGCAGTGTGAGGCTTTGCAATTCGCAGTCTTGGAGGGATATGATTGTGGACCAAGAGCATGTACAAGAGAATCCTCAACACCTTTCCATGCATGCTTTGGGATGTGCCTCAATGCCCAGCCACCTTTCCTGAAAAACAAAGTGGCTGTTGGTGACCCTTCGAGATTGTTAGTCAGCCTTCTCGCCCCATCTTCAGGATGTAGCATGGCATATACAAACATATGGCATACAAACCCTTTGTATCAATATCCCGGTCGTTAATAGCATACGTATCTTCAGGATGTCGCTGCCCTTATCAGACATCTGCGCACGATTTCTTTTTGGGTTGCCATCATTTCATTCCAAATCCAAACGGCGTTTGGAGGACCGTTTGGTGGACCGCGCGGGTCAAAGTTGAAGTTCAAACCCTTCTAGGCCAGGTGAGTCTAATCCATTTCTTCATTGTTTTGGGGGGGATGATGCGTGGTAGACCGAAGTCAGACCTTTTCTTCACTAGCATGTCATTTGTTCCCATCTTTCTGGTCCCTGTACCCCCGAAAAAGGTCTTCATACTGTTGACGGACAAAATCCTGCACCACCTCACCACTTTACCTTGGAAGGGTCGCATAGCAACCGTCCATCAACAGTAGCACTGCCCATCTCAGACTTTTCTCCAGATGGACATGAACTCTGAAAAAGACCATGGCGCCTGATCCCCAAAGAAGACGGTGGAACCGCCGCTGAACTGCTGCGCAGAGCCATGCAGGAGAGGAGTCGGTCTTCGTGTTTTCCCCCGACCCGGAAAGCCATGCCATCATCCTGCAGCACTATGGGGATTGGCATGCTGTGTCAGTGGTTTGGCAGCAGGATGGGGAGACTTCTGGGTTGGATCCGTGTTCCGGTCGTGCGGGACGTCTAGGCCTAGGCTTAGCTAATACTGGATCATTGGCTCTGATGATGGTTGATCAAGCACCTTCTCAGCAAGTTGGAATTGGTGGTCACCCAGCGCTGTCACCTTTTCATGCATATTTTCTCCACAGAAACTCGGGCAGACCTGGATTTCTTCCCCGAGTCTTTGCTCGGACAGCGAGGACTGAGCCTTCGCTCCTGACATGTCATCATGATTAAGTGGACAAAGCAGCTGTTTGTAGACGAAAACGGTCATCCGTAATATGAAGCCACGAAATATCAACGTAACCAGGATGATTTCAAGGAGCGTTTTTGGAACCTCTTTAGGATCTTTCTTTAATGATCTTCAGGATTGCACCAGGTCCGATGCCAGTCTTTGTTGATGCTTCAGTCATCTCCGATCCATTGAAAAAACAGATCAAAAGCCGTGTCCCGTGGGTTTGCGCCCTTGCAATCCCTCGGAACGGATCGATCGGGATCGATCGTCTCGGGAGAGGTCTTGGGGGTAGGTCGGCCCCAAGGGCTGATGCTGAGATGTCCAACACTGGGGTATATTGTGGGGGGGGTTGTACATTCAGAAGAGCAGAGAGATACCTGAGATACCCCGCAAAAACAGGCATCCTTCGTTTGGGGGACTATTTTTGACTTCTTGTCCTTTTCCTTACCAGAGATCCGTTGCAGAAAAGGGTCAGTTGTCAGGCTCCAACCTCGTGAAGCGTCGACCAAACTCGTGCAGCTCTTAGGCCTCGACGGGCTCGGACCTGGCTCAGAGTACCTCTGACGGGGCCTATGCCATCTATGCGCCTGCAAAGCCAAGCAGGGCAGAGTGGCTGGGGGGGGTTCAGCTTCGCATTCCAAGATCCCAAGGACCTTTGGCTCCAAGAGGAGCCTTGAAAGGTGGGAGCTTGGAGGTCCAATGAGGTGAACAAGAAGCAAACCAAAAGGCCAAGGATTCGAACATTCCTGGACTTGTGCTTTGGTCATGTTGGGTCCTTGTCGACATGAACATGAACCGTCTCGGATCCATAAAGACTGTTGGACCCTCACATTTTTGGATCGAGACCGTGGATCCAGACCCTTTCAGGACGGTGTTTCTTTTTTTCACGACTTGGGGGGTTGTGGTATGGTCAAGTGATATGTTCTCCGTTGAAAAAAAGTGGTCACATGGGTAGTAGGCTTGGCCATGCGAACGCGATGGCGCTGGCGATCGCCTGCGATCGGCTCTTCCGAACCTGAGCCAAGACAGTCTTTTCACCAGGCTCATACTGTCTGAAACTGTAGCCAACGAGTTGTTGACTCGAAACCACTCAACATCTTTTCCGTGGATTGGCCTACTTTCCTTGTTCGGATTCGGCTTTCTCAAGAGGTCTCTACTCATCACCCCAGGTGCCTTTGGGTGATTTCCTGCCCAGCCAGAAGAAGTCTGCCACCATCTACTACGCAGCGACCAAGCCAAAGAGCGAGACGAAGCCGATCACGTGATACGAGCAGAGCACGTGAGAACGGGGATGCAATTACTACAGTAAAAGAAACACACATGGAAGTGGAGAAACTACAGTAAGATGAGGTGCAGCCTTGCAAGGCCTCAAGCTTTCCTTGTTTGGGCTATCAACAAAGCGGCTAGAGTGATCTTTTTGCCAAGGGGAGGAATTCGCCAGGGATGGAACATGCCCCAGTAAGAAAGGTGTTGTTTTCCCTCAGGCCCAAGTTCAACCGGGCCGCGAAGTGTGGGTTCTTACAGTGTTCCTTGGACCCCGTCCAACACGAATTTCGATTCCAGACGCCTGACTGTGACAGGTCACCAGGTAAGCGTGCAGTCCAGACTTCAATCGGCGGATGGGAGAATTCTTGACTTGTCTATCCCTTGGTCAGGCCGCTGACGTTGGTTCAACGACCCCACCTAGAGATTCAGAACCAGGATGCATCTCCTGACGAGGGGCGGGATTGCGCATCAAACCATCTCCAACGCATCTCCTCTTTTTTTGAACCTTTGTGGTCCATTTCTCTTGGGACCTGAAACCACTCCAAAGATATCCAAAGATGGTCGGACTCTTCAGAGACCCCCCCCACCATCCGAGACGGACACCACAGGCCGCTGGGGCCGATCACCTCCTGGACTTGTTGCGGGTGGCCGAATCAGGCGACCCGCTCGTAGCCTCCGGTGGCGCGAGTGGCGAGGGGGTTGAGCATGGCGGGGGGGGAGGAAAACACCATTGGTGGTGATCCAATGACAGGCTGTCACAGCTTTGCGGTGATCCAGCTCCCCCATACCATGAGAAAGTCAGGCCTGCCGAACAAATGGGTGAACTATAGACAACAAGTGATTTTTGGGCTCCGCATGTCTTTGAGAATGGTGGGCTGTGGGTGGAACAGGGTGGAATGGTGGAATATGGTTGTGACCGCCGGTTTGAAGCTCATCTAAGCTATCCATGACAAAATGACCAACCAGACCTGAAGGGTGCCCAGTGCCCTGTCTTATCTCGCACCACCCCGCACCTCGCGGCATCCCCAAACCGGTCGCCTGCAGTCCACGGGACCACTCCGATGCCGCTCCCCACGGTTTCTCCGATGACGACGACTTCAAGCACTGGGCTGAGATATGTGTGGCCCCCAGTGGGAATTGGAAAATGGTCCGACCTGCATGACATGCATTGAACGATTCAACTCCACCCAGGGTGGAGTATTTGGGTACTGCACGTAGCAGGATGGCTTGGGAATCATACTAGATTGGCGATGTCCATGAGTGATGAGTGGTCGACAGCCCTAACGATGCTTAGCCTCTGGTGCTGCTGAGCGAGCTGTCGGAGTCAGAGCAGCCAGCGACCCCTTCAATTTGTTGTTGAAACATGTTGAAAATACAATATAGATGCCTTGCCAGGGTATTTAGATACTAGATGTTTATACTCAGATGATGGCGAACTCGCTCTGAGAGCTATGATCGCTCACCACTCAACCGCGCGGCCGTTCCAGCCACTGCCGGCCTTTGGTTTGGTTCATCAAGAATCCATCTGAGCCCAGATTCTGGGCCAATCCCAAGATTGGCGAGATCGTGGTCATCTCCTGGAACAATCCAGTAGAGAGTGATTGGCAGCCCTGGTTCTTGTCCTCTCCCTAGAATTAGATTCGGGGTACTTGCAATATATCAATGACTCAACAGATTAAATTCTATGTAGTATGCTTTAGGCTTGCAGTGAAACCTGAAGCAGATTCTGTGAAGCCTGAAACAGTTTGGTCGACGATGGCCAAGATTGCAGAGGTCTTGCAGTCGAACTATTTGAAGATCGGCGTCAAGGGCAACGGAGGCGCGCAGAGCGCGGCACGGAGCGCCACAGGTGTGTGTGGCGCAGATGTCGGAAGAATGCAGTCACTGGAGGTGTTGGAAGAACCTTCTGAAGCACCCTTGCTGGAGATGCATAAGAACCTTGACGGATGTTTCTCTCAGCTCATTTCCCCGCTTCTTCCCGCTGCGCCAAAGGCTTTGGCTCCAGAAGACGAGAAGCGACTCGCTGACGTGCCCCGCTCCTTCGCTCCTTTTCGCCATGCCGTGCGCATGCCCGGGCAGCTCCGTGACGGGCCCCATCGCTTGGGTCACCTGCGGCTGGCCACCACTGCCCGACGCGGTGAAGAACGTGGGTGTCAGCGAAGATGCACGGCAGACCGAGGAGCCGGTTTGGTTTGGTTCTACTAAGTCAGATACTTCAATGCAGATGTTGGGGGGTACGAAGTACTCGCACGTAGGCTGCAAGAGGCTTAAAATCGGCTTGGAGCTGTAGCCCTTGTCCCAAGCCAAGTGTGCAGGGATCCCAATGGTCTCAATCCATCTTTGAAGATGCTGTAGAATCCACCCTGCGAATCTTCTTGGCACTCCCAAGGATGATTGGGCGCAGGCCAAGAAGATTTGGAACTGTGCTGAGATTCAGCTTCTTGTCGCCCACATCATCCTTGCGCTGGTCCTTGTGGCGATTTTGGTGCCAGTCACCATCACTACAGGCCATGCAAGTTGTTGGTGTCGATTAGCCGGCTTTGCACCACATGGGTGGGGGATCCACGAGTGTGGAGACCTCCACTGTCAAGCATCACAATGAACTAACTAGAGCCTGGAGGATCAGGGTGGGATCATCCGAAGAGTATCTCTTACTGAGAACAACTGCAAAGATGCTTACTTTGGGTGCTTACTGAGAACGCCTCAACACCTATCAACATCTCAAAAGGGCCATATCAATTCCCATGAAAAGAGGACGCCCAGGGCTGTCTTTGAGTCACTCGATCCACCAAAGAACCAGTTCACATGAAGGCCCGACTACAAGCATCCTATCACTCGCACGAGACACAAAGTCACCACATGATGGGCTCATCACCTGATGGAAACATCAGACAAGTCTCAGGTAATTGTACAGAACGGAATGCATTGGGAATGCAACTATACCTACAAAGAGAGGTGGCTTTTTGGCTTTGGCTTGTGGCAACTGTTGGCTTTGATGGCTTTCTTTGTGGCTTTGGAGTCTATTTTTTGCTGGTTGTCTTTTTGTTTTAGTAATTTGTTGTTGGCCCCGCTTTTGGCTCAGCTGGTGGCTTTCGGCCTCTGGGGCTTTGGATGGCTTTGGAAGCTTTCGATGCTTGCAGCTCCATGCCACCAAACGTTTGGTGAAGCCAGCCACACAGGGGGAACTTTGATCTTCAATGTGTGGGTACCAACGGTGCATGTATCATCCCGCATGCATCACCAACCCGTGTTCAGCATCTTTGTAACATAAACTCAAGTCCATCCCTGCCAGGACACATGTCCAGGAGTCCAGGACACATGTCCATCCCCTTGGTCTCTCCGCGTGGACCAACGAGCTGAGTAGACTCAGCTGCTTCTTTCCCCGCCGCTGTGCTGGTCTTCCCGTCACGGTTCCGCCAGGGTTGTACTCGCTTTGGTCCATCATGTCGGCGGTTAATCTCGCGCGCCTCGTGACGTACTGGACGATTCCCACGGCCGTGGAGAAGATGAAGCTGCTGGGCGGTCGTCTTCTGCGTCCGTGCAAAGGGTGGGGTCCAAAGGTCTGATCTATAGTGGTCCAAGAGTGAATAACTGATAAGAAGTGTAGGTTGGTCTGGTGATTCAAGACGCCAAGATGAGAAGGGCATGGTGTGATGCGTGGTGTTTTTATGGTGGTTCACACATGTTCGAAGCACACCGATGCAAAGGTATGCTTTCTTTCTTTACCACAGGGGCCTAGGCCCACAAATGTGATTGTTAGCTGGATAGAAGTTGTTGCACACACTGACATAACATGTTTAATAATTTGTTATTCTTGCTAGGACAAGTGGGGGCACCATAAAAGCAGTGTAGTTCCTTGTTGACCGTCGGTTTTTGGGGTGCTGACTTGGCATGTGAACAGCGGAGTTGATCAGTCTGCGTTGCTTCACGGGCGAGTGTGCTGAAGGAACGCAGAGTCGGCGGCGCCCGTCGCCCCGGTCGCGAGGAATCAAATCTTCGCCAAGAAGAACATCGATGTGAAATGGGTCCAGACCACCTGTCTCAGTTACGGACGATGCGGGTCCGAAGACGGATGATGCGGGTCGGGTCAAGTCCAGGCAGCTTTTGGTTGGTATAAAGTATAGTGAAACACTGACCTGTTGATGAATAAGAAGCCTCCATTCTCGGAGATGTTTGCCCTTTATATAAACGGTCAACAGTCAGAGGTCATGTGTGACCCTCACCACCCCTGACCGCCCGTTCTTTCGCGAAGTTGGATCCTTTGTGGGGCGGGAAGATGGCCGGTCCCAAGGTTCCCCACAGCAAAGCTTCCACTGGGGGCCGCGGGGGGGATTGCAAGTCAAGCTCCAGGTTGGAAACATTGGGTCGAACCAAGTTTTAACCAAGTTTCATCATCATCATCATCACAATTCATCACAATTCATCACAGCTGCTTGTTTTTTACTCCCATTGTTGAACAGCATCCCAGTTTTAACTATGACTACGACTCCATGTGCCCGGAGTCAGTACGTTGTACGGCAACATTCAGTCAAAACGTGCTTCATGGCGACACCAAGAGAGCGAGTGTGCCATTTGGTGTGTCCTGGGTCTTATCGGTCGTTTGAGTCGGTCAGTCAGAGCCTAAAGAGTTTATGGATGACTTGGGGTGAAAGATCTTTTACTAACCATATCTATATAACCATCATCATCCACTGTTACCATCCTAGGGTGGAGGCCATCACTATACTAGGATGGAGGCCATCCCTCCTGGGGTGGAGGCCATCGCTACTAGGGTGGAGGTGGAGGCCATCGCTACTCATGGGATATATACTTACACCCAACACATTCCCTTGGGATGCAACGGCCTGGAGGACTTGTCTTCACTTCAAGTGGCGATGCCACACAGATCCCATGAGCAACCAGCAATCTGGCGGGTGACAGGGGGTTGAGGGCTCAAGAGTCGTCGATGTTTGTTGAATACCGTCCATCAGCCGTTTTGGTGGGCATCTCTTTGCTTTTACTTCAGGCACATCTCAATGATGCTGTTTTGACCTTTGCAGCTGCAAGGTGCATGCTACCTGCTAGCGGCTGCTAGCAGCAATATATAAAGACAACATATCTGAGCTAGGGTTACTTTTTGTATCTTTTTGTTGAAGTTATTGAATTTAGATAAGAGTGCACCTCCATGTTTGCGAAGGCAGAAGTGTGTTAGTTTCTTTTCAGCATTGCGTAGGCTTGCATAGGCTTGCATAGGCACTATGTGGAGAACCTTGTGTTGAGGTTGGCGTAGGCTCTACTCTGATTTAATGTCGACTTGTAAAAAAGCTTTTAAACCAACACCAGCGTGTGCAATACTGGGATTTGACAGGCAAGGACGCTACTAGGGGCTCCTGGCCTTTCTACTAGGAACAAGGACGCTACTAGGAGCGATGACAGGAATTGATGAATTCACTTGTGGGTACTAGGCACTCGTGGTCACACCAGTAGCACATTGCCCATTGTCTCTATGCATGGAAGGCAGGTTTGCCCAGTCCCAAGGCTTGCACCGGTGCCTCGGCACGCGAAGGCACTCGCGATCTGCTAGCCCTTCGTCATTTCAAGTTTTCTTTAAGCGCATATGTGGGTAGCCTTTGGTCCGCATGTCTGCTTACAAGAAGACTTGGTCAGACTTCACTGTATTTAATGTCAGAGGGAGCGGTCATGGAGAGGGCTGCCTTTGCCAACGAAGTCATCACGAAACATACTGTGGAGTAGATATAGTGTCAAACTGGCCATGTCTTGTCTGTGAGCATGAAAGGCCCAGCCAGCAAGACAAAAGCACGTGCAGCCTGCCAAACCAATCGAGACAGAGAATGAGATAGACACTGCTCTGCAAGGCCGTTGCTGGCCTGCAGAAAGCTGCGGCACAGAACCAGTGCCAAATCCAGGCTGCATCATCTTCAGGGAGTTTTTCAGCTTCCAGTTCTTCCTCGTCATCCTTGCGTGCTAGCGCTTAAAAGGTCCCTTGTGCAGGCGCTTGCGTAGCCACCAGTAACTGCGCAAAGGCTAGTGCAGGTACCCTTGCAGAAACGTTATCCCTGCGTATGCTGTTGTGTATGCGCCCCCAAACTGTATACCCGAGAAGCAACCAAAAACAAAAACACAACTCAACTGCAGAAGCAACAAGATGATCGCAATGCAGCACTCAAGCGGCTATCGAAAGACCAGTCGAGGGTGGCCCTTGTCGTCGCCTTCAGATCCACTCGAATGCTGGCCATTTCATTTGGTCTACAAATGCAGAATCATAGTACTACACACATGCTGTATACGTATAACTTTGGTAACTAGTGACTACGTAGTAATGATTGACCGTTTTAGACATCTGCCTACGATGGGGAAAGGGCAATACACACAGATTTGGGACAGCTGTTTCATTGGGTGATCTGGCCTATGCTACCAAGTTAGAGAGTCACCGCCTGCCACAAGGTTCAGGTCTTCATAGGTCTTCCAGTAGGATGGCCTGGTACTACTGGTTGGGCTTGAACAAATTGGGGATCTGTATACCGTACCAAACTGACCCCTCTTGACCAGAGTCTTTGAGATTTTTGCGAAGGTCATTTTTCCACGAATCGGGCTCTGACGGCGGGCGCCCGGCGGGCGCCCATGCACCACGAAAGGGTGGCTCAGGAAGCTGCACCGAAAGGGCGAGACTCCGATCGAGCAGTGCAGGAGTGATAGGAGTGGAGGTGGGTCACGCAGATTCCTTTTGTCACGCAGATTCCTTCGTTGCTGCTAGAACTTGGCGTGTCTTGCCTTCTCTACTTCCCCCAGTTTTTTAGCAAACTCAACGGCGATAAATCATGGTGCCACCGATCTCTAAAACTCTTGGTTTTCAATCTTGATCCATAGGCACCCTAACCACAACAGCTCTTGGATGGCACATCTTGACCTCAGCAGCCTGGGATGAGTTATTTGGGGTTTTCCCTTTTGGATTTCCCGATGATTCCATGAACGGGACCTCGGCCCCAAAGACCATGATTTGGACAGGCCATCCGTGCGATTAAAGACGTGGAGCTGACCGCGTTGGTCGGTCCTTTTGCATTTAAACCGAGGCGAGGATCCCCCCTGAAAAGGAACACAAATTCCAAGGTCAGCTGACTCATAAAGTGCTTCAAACTGTCCAAACTCTACTGGTGTGTTTGCAAAGATGGTGCTAGACGGACAGACTTTGGTCTACGAGCGGGCGGTTGTTCCCCCTGCACGCCGGAGATCCGCCACGCATTCTCGTTCTCAACAAATCGCCGAGCGACAGAGTTTTCGTCGTCTGACAGGACTGGCTGAAGAACGGCCAACGTCCGTAGAGAGACGAGCAACGTCGTGTCGTCCTGAAAGTGTAGCGCCAGTCAAGGGGTTTTCTTGATAGCACAGACACTCATGATCTATCAAGGGACATCATCCAAGCAGTTCCATGTTGGGGTGCCAAACTTGGAGGGTGGGGGTGCCCAGAACGTCCACATGTATCAGATGGGACTGGAAACCATTCCTAGTGTCACTGGACGATCCAACGGCTCGGCACACGTCGCACTTGTTTCCGCCCAGCTTCCGAATTGAAGCTGAGCGACATTGGCACTGGCACTGGAAAAGAATTGCTTGTGTTGCCTTCCATGGCATGAGGCTGTTTGTTTGGTCCCTCACCTAGTGGTGATCGGAAGAATTCAGGATTCTGGCTCTAGGGCTAGATGTGGACCACCAACCTCCCAAAATATGGCCCTTAATCCCAGAGGTCATGCTTGGGCTCTAGGTATACACTCTGGAAGATTAACATGAAACCTGAAAAGCACTGGGTTGCAGTTCGAGGAAACTAGTATTCCAAAGGTCAATGTTCAGGTGCCATGTCAATCTTCCGCAGTATATTAGATCGCTCCAAAATGCTCCAAACATGTACGGTCAGACCACCAAAAGTCTTGGGACAGGACCCGGACCGGGGCCTACAACGAGGGGCCCATGGGTGCAAAGGTCTGTTGATTGGAGTGACTTGATGGTGTTTTTTTTTTTTTTTTTAAACATGATAAAGTTGATTGAATTTTATAGCACACTCAAGCAGCACGGATTGAGCGTGTTTTAAGGCGGGTTGAGGTGAGGGCGGGAGGGGTTTCGTGGAGCCAGCGATTTCTTGACCAATCCTGCAAGAACATTTGAGATCTAAGACCAATCCTGTGCAAGCATATAGCAGCATACTGGGTTTTGTTCTCTCTCCCACGTCCATCCCGAAGTCCAAACCAAAGTCCAACGTTCAGATCATCATCTCTCCCAACTGGAGGCCATAGCGATTAGGTTGGAGGTCATCTCTCCCAACTGCCAGCCTTCGGTTCGTCACCCAAGTCCGCAGGCTTGGCGCAGCCCTTCTACCAGTCGGAGCTCACGGGCTGGACCAAGCTCACCTATGACGAGATGCCCTTGAAGAGCACCGTCAAGGCCACCGTGGAGCGGGTCAAGCACCTTTCTTTTTCTCAAACATGTGTGTGGATGGCCTCCCTGCAAACAAGGGCGCTGCAACATGGCGGACACCTGGAATATATTTTTCCTCGGCAACCATAATTAGACATATGTCTACAATGACAAATTATTCCAGCATAGACCCCAGATAGCAAAAGCATGCAACAGACTTTTCTGGGCTGGACCCTACATTGGCAGCAGCTCCAATTTTTATACACTCTCCACCCAGCACCCGCACCGGCGCCCGGCACCCAGCACCAGCAACCTGTCTCCACCACGTCCACAGCCAGCTCACAGCACCAGCACCCAGCACCACCAGTGGCACCCGGCACCAGCACCATCAACCTGTCTCACGCGCACAGCCAGCTCACAACACCAGCGCCAGCACCGGCACCCGGCACCCAGCACCAGCACCAGCAACCTATCTCCACCACGTGCACAGCCAGCTCACGGCACCACCAGCACCAGCACCGGCACCCGGCACCCAGCACCGGCACCCAGCACCCAGCACCAGCACCGGCACCAGCAACCTGTCTCCACCACGTGCGCAGCCAGCTCACAGCACCAGCGTGCACAGCCAGCACCAGCACCGGCACCCGACACCAGCACCAGCAACCTGTCTCGAAAGCGCGCACGAGCAACTCATTGTTACTTGAAGTAAGAACCCCATAGCTTCGCTATCTGGGGAAAAAGACAATGACAATGACTCAATGACCCTCCACATTCTGAAAGACTAAGTTTTGCTTGGGATGTTGAGGGCCCATATTAAGCAAAGTGTCAAACTGAAGACTGCACCACTGCTCTTGTTTGCAGAGTTGATCCGAACAGTCGGCCTCAGGGGACTTTCTTTTCAACTTGACGGAAGGAATCAGGACATTTTCCGCTTTGCGTCATCGGATGCTCTGCCGATGTCGTGGTTCGCACGGATTCGCCCCGGACAGCATGCTGTCTTACGGTCATGACCGAAGGAGGGTCTCTCCCGTCGAAGCGGTCTTCCGATCGGTGAAGCCGAGCAGCGAGATCGACTGCTTGCCCTGATGGGAAATCCCTGGCCCCAACCATTGCTCGCTGGTGCGACTGGTGCTGCTAGTTGGGGAATGAGGGAATGACCCCCACATGACAAATTCTTGATCCAGCCAGCCCCCTTCATTCCCTACTTTCGTCGCACCAGTCAGACTCGTGATCCCTCCTTCCCACCCTGCATCCCATCCCGGAAAGCCCGTGCTTTCACATGCTTTCACCCCCCCCGGGTTCGAACGACCCGTTCGCGCAGATTGATGGCGTGATTGCTGACATGGGCCGCCTCTCGGACGGCCGAAGCAACGGCGGCAGCGGAGAGAGCGGAACGGTGCACGAAGAAGCGACCGTCGCCATCCCGTGGTCGCCACACTTCACATGGACCCAAAGGGGCGGGAGGTTGGACGTTTGTTGGGGGGTTCACCTGGTCAAGGTCAAATAGACTGGTTCTTTGGACAAGAACCAGCTGAGGTGAACTTCCGCCACTGTGGTGAACTTCCACCAGTTTCTAATACTCATCAGCGGTGAATCACCGATACCACCGGGCGTGTCCTGAGGACCGTGTTTGTTTGCTTGTTTGGGACGACCACGAGGACCAACGTGTCGTGGATGTTAGAGGGACAAGTGCACGCTTCTCCGTTCACGACGAGCGAACGACAAACTTGGCGAGCTGGATCTTTGAGATGATCCCATGAGTTGATGGAACACATGACATCCATACTACCAGCACCTTCCAACAGGTCTCCTCTGGAGGCTTTTGTAGACTTAAATGTCGCAGGTGGTGACCTGTTGGAGGGCGCTGGTATATTGAAATATTTCGAACATATGACAAATGACATGTTCAATGACATCATATGATATCCCAAATATCGCAATCGTCGTTCTAAGTCTCCTCACTCTCACCTCATTCTCATTCTACCTTGCTCCCCAGCGCACCTCTCCCCATCCAAGGTTCGGCCAGCGTCCGCTTCCGGGACGCCAGCTTCTGCAGGGTGCGGGAGGAGCTCACGAGCATGGGCATCCCGCAGGTGGGCGGCGGGAACGACCCCAAAGTGGGCGGGACACCGGCGAAACCGGGCGACAGACACGCCCAGAGGGATATATATTGAAAAGCCCTTGGTATGCATAATATATGTTTTGTAGATTCGGGTCAAAACCTATATAAACCCGGGTCCTGAGGGCTCAAAGTTGGGGCTTGGGGGGGGTCAAGTTCATCAAAAATCTTGCGTCAAGGCGTCCAAATTCTGGGTCCTGAGGGGTCCAAGTTGGGGCTTGGAGGGGTCAAGTTCGCCAAAAATCTTGCGTCAAGGCGTCCAATTTCCGGGTCCTGAGGGGTCA